TGTTACTACCCAGACGTAACCATCCAAGAATCCAACAGAAGTCCAGAATTGTTTCTTCAAATTCCCTTCCCTGTTGTTCTGTACCAGTGAAATCTGTTCACATGTACACGTATCATTCTTGCCAAACTGATAGGTCTATTTTTAGATGCAGGTTTTCCGGGAAAAGAAAAAATGGTGCAAAGAGGTTGGAGACAAATTAAGAATCTCAGGATACTGAAAAAAGGGCTGACAGTATCCAAGGGGACAGGGATTCAAACCAGGTGGGCTAGAAAGGGGGAGGGGCAGAGCCTTGGCACAACTCAGAGTCCCTGGGGCCGAAAGGAGCTTCAAGACACCCACGGGCTTGGAGGTTGGGCCGTCCAGTGTTTGCCCCTCAGCGCTGTCACTTGCTGCGTACTTACACTTCTCTGAGGTTTCCTTCTGCATACTCTGCACGGTGATAATAAAACACGAAGTCATATACACAGCACCATGTACAAGGGGAATGTTCTGTGAACGGCCGTGGCTTAAATACGAGCAGAAAGAAGCCGGGGCTTCCTAGAGCATTTATAATGCCAGGTGGTAACTGATGTCTACGCTTCTGCCTCCACCAGGCCGTGTAAGCTCCTGGAGGGCCGGCATCCATGCACCAGGTCGGCTGCAAATTCAGGACACTCTGATTCCATAGGTCTGGGGTGACGCCCCGGCAAGCAGATTTGAAATGAGCTCAGGGGTTCTGATGATACACGGCCGGGGTTTAGACACACTAACCAAATCCAATATGAAATCCCTGTCTGCTCGGGACTGAAGAGGCAAGATGGTACCCAACAAATGGGTTTACAGTTCCACGGTGGGGAGAGAAATCAGTCAATAACTAGGCTAAGTTTACCAGCTATGGAATCACGCAAAGCCCTGTTATACACTGAGTGGAAGCCGCAGAAGCTTCCCCATGCCTGGGAAAAGACAAACACACCTAGAAAACCTCTCCCCAAAATCTTTCACCCCTTCCCTTACAGCCTCTCCCTCCAAACGGGTGAGGAGATTCACTATTAGCTTGACGTGCTTTGAAATGGGTACAAAGCCAAGGAACCCAATAAGTAAGAATTTTTAGATGGAACCTGCCTGTCCCAGTAGGGACAGCCTGTCAGTTATTCTTTTCTGAGGTTTCTGAAGGCAGTTTTGTGGGTGTGTTCTCTCTCTCTCTCTTCCCAGGAGGCTCTGGCAATACAAGAGGTCCCCAGCGCAAACCAAAGCTATCCGGCAGAGGATTTGGGTTCCTCATCCCCTGTTGTCTGGACTGTATCCTCTCTGCCGGGAAGGTCACCAGCAAGATGCCACAATGGGCAGTGCAGGGACAATCAGGGGGAGCCCGCGTGGCTGGAACGTGGGATGGGAGCACCCACGGCAGGGTCCGCTTCAGAAGGAAGAGGGGACCCAGGCTCTCACTGAGAGAAGAAGGAAGAAACCCACTCCGGCTGCAGGAAGGTCTGGCAGCCATGGGAAAGGAAGGGATGAGTTACCGCGGGGCTTGGACATTTCATCTGCAGCTGCGTGGGAAACGCCGCTCCTTGAGGATTTGATGGCAGAGATTTACCAGATGAAATGAAGGAGGCCCGAGGCCTGGGAGTAATGGTTTCCGTGGTCTGCGACCCCTGTGTGGACTCAGATCCCTTTGGGTCATGATGACTTAAGAATTTCCACACCTGCTAAGTCAGTATTACGTGGAACTCAAACCTGACTCAAATGCACCTCGAAGCCTTTGCTGACACTTGTTTACTCTGTTGTCAGTAATGCTTCCTAAAGCTCAAGTTTAATGACAGAAGTTTGGCAGAACTGATATACATAGTTCAAAAGGATTAATTTATCTTTGATCGCAAGGACTATTCAGGCTGCTAATGCATTATCCCTAAAGTAAAATTCTTAGCCAAATACACTAGGTTCCCCAAAGGGTCTGGCGGATTTCAGGTAAGGAGAGAGAGAGAGAGACTGAATTAAATACCTTAGATTTCTGGTATTGAGCACTCTGGAAATATTCGTGCAGTTTAGCCCTTAAATGAGGACTGAGACAGAACAGATGAGAGACAGCAAATTACAGAATTTGACCCAAAAGGCTTACCTGGGGTAAATCAAATGACGACTCATTTCCAACATGGAATTAAATCAATTCAATTAGCAAACGGGTATCCTATCTTTAGATCCAGAGCAAAACTGTTAATAGGGCTGTGCTCACTGAAACAAGACACGACACTTTTTCTTCCTTCAAACCTTATATTGCTAATTCTATGCCTCCCGGATCATTTTTTTTTCACTATGTTTTCTTGCAAAGAATTGCTTGTTGCTCTCCCTGGCCTCTGAGATCAGGTTTCAGATGAAGGGCAGTCAAAGAGTTAAGGATCCATTCCAAGACAGGAGCGGGATGTGGTTAATGACCCTGAGTAATACAGAGAAAAAGCATTTCAGAAGACACCAGGGCCCGCAGAAAGTCCTCTGGCCTACCCAGACGTGACGTAGGTAAACAGGCGCACAGCAGGAGACATTAAAACAGCTAGATACACGCAGCGAAACGATCCCACCTGAGGGAGAGTCTCTTTAAACTATTTTCAAGTTATGGCAAATTGCTAATATTTTAACATGGGAATCTACTGTATCCAAAAGCTTTGAAACTCCCAGCAAGGCTGGCTTGAAGCAATCTGTGATGTGTACTCTGTGTGCACCCTATAAACCAAAGGCAAACTTATTTGTGGATCCAGAAATGTCTTCCTCGACTCTGTCCCTAGCTGAAAGGTGGAAAGCTACTATGACTCCAGAGCGGTTCATGTGATTCTAAAAGAATGGCCGATTTAGCGATTCTAAACTCACATCACCTCTTCTGTGTGTAAATACTCATACATTTTCTTTCAAATAATTTTTTTAATCTTTATTTATTTTTGAGAGGGGTGGGGGGAGAGGGACAGAACAAGAGCTGGGAGGAACAGGGAGAGAGGGAGACACAGAATCTGAGGCAGGCTCCAGGTTCCGAGCTGTCAGCACAGAGCCCGACGCGGGGCTCGAACTCACGAACCGCGAGTTCATGATCTGAGTTGAAGTCAGACGCTTAACCGACTGAGCCACTCAGGTGCCCCAATACTCATAAAACTTCAAAGCATAAAGGCAACTGGGCTCGCCCAAATTTGATGATATGCAAAGGACCAATTACACCTAGCATTAGAACCAAGGAAGAAGTTGCTATGACACCAGCCGGCTAATACTGTGGCTATGAAGCCTACCTCATTCTTTCCCCACCCCCAACCTTCCAGCCAACAAGTGAGATTAAGCACCGTGCCTCTAAGTACTGGATGGTTTGAAAAATAATTCATAGAAACTATTCTCAAGGCATAGATAAGACACCCTCCCACTCCCACTGAGCCCCCAAATTCAAAAGTACTCGAAGTCTCTCCTACTCCTTTGAGACAAGTATTGATTCTAAAGAAAGAACTGAGGAGTCAGCTCTGCAAGGGAACTTTTAATGGACAAGGTAAGCGTTTCTTTATAAACTTGCACTTAGTTACGGCCATTTTTTCTCCCAAGGGTGCTGTGGATTTTTATCAACAGCTGCTGGACATAGGTTCGGAAAAGGTGAAATCGCGTTTAAAAAGGCTCTAAGTCACAGGGAGAAAAGCTTGGCCATTAATTCCCTACTTCTTTTCTGGAACAAATTCACTCTCTGTTTCCAGGTGACACACTAAGTTTGTTCAAAGTACTAGAAGCAGCAGAAAGTACTTGGGACAATAGGCTGGAGCCAATTTTGCCTCAAGACAGACAAGAGCCGGCAGGAACCAGAAGAAAAAGTCTGCCTCCCACCCAGGGTGCACAAGCTTTCCTACAGAACCAAAGCAGCTCTTCCTGGAGGACAGATCTGGGTGTTGCGGTTGACGATTTTTTTTTTTTTAACTGACCAAGCTTGGGGCGCTTGA